ATTAATTAATTAAACTTTTTAATAAAATTATTATTAATTACTTCCACAGCGGTTTAGTCACGTGACCGTGACATCCTTGAACATGGCGGCCACCAGTGAGAGTTTTGAGACCTCCGTGAGGAGAAGACGTGTTGATAGTAGAAAGACAGAGACGAATTTCGCTGACAGCAGTAAAGAAAATGGAGCCAATACAGACAAAGACACAGAGAAAGAAAAGACCCTCGTGTCGTTACAGACCGGGAGTTACTGGCTTACTCGTATTGTGCTGCTGCGCGCCGTCGCCTTTATTTACTGTAAGTGCTTATGTTGACACGTCCAGAGTTTTTACTGTAGTCAGTCTGTTGTGCTGTACCTAGTCGCGCTGATGTGGCTGCCTTGCTTTGGTTGATCTTGTCTTTTTTCTGCTTTAGTTTTAGTTTTGCAGGTTGCCTTTTAGCCCAACCGTTTTATTCGCTGTTTAAATTATGAGCTGTAGTAGGCCTATGTCATTGCTGGAATATTAAAATGACCAGTGTTGGAACAGACCACTGTTATTTGTAAAAGTGTGCACAACTTAGTTTTTCTTGTATTTAAGTGATTTTTTTGCATGAGAAATGAATCACAGGCAGTGTTAGTGATGACTGAGTGGTGCATATTATTTCTTGACTTTTTTTAGTCGGTCTTTGTTTTGTTTACAACAAAAATATAACATTCCCTGCAGTGTTGTCTTTGTGAAAAGCTCAGATGTGATTGAGTGGCTTTTTTTGCTGGTATTGTTCAACGTCTTCCAGTGTGAAGTAATTGGTGGCTTTCAGATTTATGCTGTCAATGTAGCTTCCCTAACACTGGTTGTTCATTATTCTCATTCTGACTCTTAGTTAGCATCAAGGACAGATGTGTTAACATTTCCTGTAGAATTTTTCTTTATGAGCATCGTAAAATGCAGCTATTGATGAGTGTCCATCCTCCCTGTTCTGAGCCAGTTGATTAATGAAGGTCTTCATGGCTCCATACATTCAGCTGTCAGTTTATTAGCTACACCTAGTTAAAACTAATGCAGTTTAATACAGCAGTAATGTAATACACTAAGTCCTATAAACTGGATTATACATATAGGTGCTTCTTTCAGTCTAAAACAGAATTTCCTGCATGACTGTGTGCCTGTGTACTGCCAGCTGAGTGTATAATCTAGCAACTTCAGGTCCTTGTGGGGGAGCTACAAGGGCTTCTAGGTTATAATCCCTATATAGTATTCGTGGTCTTATCCATGGCTTCCCTTCAGTCAGAAAACCACAGTCTTGGACTAAGTGTAGCTGATTTATCATCTGACTCTCTTACTTAGTAGCAAATACAGTACCTACAGTGCCCAGAAGTCACAGTGCAGTGAAGCTAGAAGAACATGCTCCACAAAAAGCAGCCCATCTTATTCTAATTAGATAGTCTTTGCTTTGAGTTAGGAAATGTTTAAATTAGCCCTGCGATGGATTGGCGACCTGTCCAGGATGTACCCGGCCTTCGCCCAATAACCCACCCCTGCGACCCCGTTCAGGGATTAAGTGGTGGAAAGTGAATGAATAAATGTTTAAATTAATGAGTATATTGTTGAAGTCTTGTAGATTATGTTACATTGATGATATAGTTAAGACTTTGCAAAGAGACCATATCCACTTTTATAGCACTGTTAATCAATTTCAGTAAAATGTGTATTGAGGAAATGAGCATTCAGTCACATTTGTGTCTTTGTCCTCTTTTGTCTTGTCTCTTTTCTGTAGTTGTGGCATTCAGCATTGCTTATACCCAGAACAAGCAACTGATAGGTGAGCATGGCCTGATGCCCTGCAAGAGCTATCTCAACAGTGTCAAGCGCTACGTTGGGGGAAAGATAGGCATGGCTGCCCTGGCCTATACACCCTCTGTCCTCTGGTTCCTAGACTGGAGCAACATGGATGTCAACCTGGATGGCATCGCCCTGGTGGGGATGGCGCTGTCAGGGTTTGTCCTGGTGACAGGAATGGCCAATATGGTGATCATGGTAACACTGTGGGTGCTTTACCACTCGCTGGTCAATGTGGGACAGCTGTGGTAAGTTAGGAATGTACATGTGTAACTACTCATATCTATAATTCCAAAAATGGTTTCCTTTGTGGGTTATTGGGCCTCATGCAAGAACATTTTTGCATTTTTATCTTGAACCTCTAATGTTTTCCATGCGGTTTGACCTTAGGTTTTATTATTTGCATTTTAGATGATTTTTGTAAAATATTTAAACTCCAGATTTATGATGCATCATTATTAAGTCAAACAAGTTCTTTTATATTACTCATACATGCTGTTATTTGTGTGAGTGGTTCCTGCTTGAGGCTCAATGTATCATAAGTGGGTTATCTTTAAAGAGAGAACATTTTTTCAGCTGTCATACAACAATTACATTCTAGTAAAGATCAATGAAGGGACAAAAGCAACAACATTTTAATATTACAGCATTCTTTTTTTCTCTTTCCAGGTATTCCTTTGGTAAGTGAACTTCTTCCCAAATGACAGTTTTCAACCTCGAAACTAATTCCACTGTAGCTTCCATGTTTCCCTACCTCCAAAAGAAGGAGCATATTAGAGGCAAAGCATCAGTGTGATCAGGCACAAAGGTTTGAATATCCTTTGTAATTCCTCAAACAGTACCCTCAACCTGATGACATCCTTTGAACCAAGCTTGTATGTGACCTCTTTTGAATGACATCCTTTGAACCAAGCTTGTATGCGCACTGACCTCTTTTGGCACATCTGCTGTTTGCATTTGGATGCTTCAGACTGATGTTTTAGAGGAGAGTTTGACCTATTAAAGAGGAGTCTTCCCAGTCGTGATATACAGTATATTTGAGGAAAGCCAAGTAGGGGACAAGTAACTATGTAGCTAAGTAAGTTAGCTAAGACTTTTGAGTAATAGATAAATCTAAAGAAAGAGACAAGTCTTATTCTTCAAGCTGTTTAATTCTTGGACGCAGCAAGATCCAGGGAAGGGAACCATGATGCAGTAGAATCACTGTTTGAGTCACACTACCAGCTTTCTTATGGTTGTTTCCCAAATACTTTACAGTTACTGGGTTAAACACCCAGTCACTGACAGAATTAAGGTTTATTTATGAAAAGCACTTTGCAATTGTTGAATAATGAATTGCCATGAAATGTTATTGGTTATTATTGTTTATGACCAAATACCTGCTGAATTAAGGCCATTGTCATCAAGCTCATCCATACTTCATGTTTGCTGCTAATTAGAAAATGTTAGCATGCTAACACGCTAAACCATAGACTGTATATAAAGGTGGATGAGGCGTCACCATTTCCTGCTTTTATGCAAAGGTGAGGCCAAAATTTAGCAGGCTATATTTCTGTCTTTTGTCCCCTTGGCTTTTCTCTAAAGCTCCACATCCCTTTGGTGTGACCTGGGTGTGCTTTGTGGCCCGTTGCTTTGAGCAGTGTTTGTTCTTCTATAGCACCTTAGTAAACACATGATATTCTGACTGTTTGTTCAGGCTGGGAGAGCCAGTTGTTGGAGACAGGCTTTTTGGCCATTTTCCGTGTCCGGTGTGGACTCTGTCCCCGCCCCCCCGCCGCTGCCCCCCCTCCCTTATCTGTATCTGGACCTTCAGATGGCTCATTGTCCGAATTATGCTGGGAGCTGTGAGTAAAATATTTTGTTAATATTTACAGTAGAATGTATCAAGCATGTACCACTTCAACTAGAGAACACTTATGTCACTGTTGACAGAAAAAGAAAAGATTTTTTTTTTGGCAAATAACATCAAGCCCATTTTTGACAACATAGAAGCAGGCTTGAATGCTTCTTAGCTTCACTCATTCCATATTTTTAAATATTTTTAATATGTTAAAATCTTTTCCTTTATTCTTTGGCATAGAAATCACTCTTTACTGCCTTTTTCTCTGCAGCATTTGTCACATAGCTGTTATTTAACTTGTCAAATGCAATACAAGCTAATTGAAAAGAATTTTCTTAGACACTGTCCTGTTCCTAAAACCCCTTTACTACCAAGAGCACCTCGACTAAACCATTCGCTGTTAGGAGACTCTGCACAGACATGGATATTTCTGTCTAGGAGAAAGGAGATGCTGTAGATCCAGGCATGTACAGTACACACGTACCTGAAAACAACCAGCAAGCCAATGTGAAGAAATGAAACCATTTCCCAAAAGGATAATTCTCAGGGATATTCCAGTGTTTGCCCTCCTCATTTTAGACGTTAGTTACGTTTGGCGCAGTGCTTTGCCATAAAACCCTGCCAGTATTTGGATATCCAACCCAAATGGTTACCTAAACAAGATGTAATGTTGTTTGACAGTTTCCGTAGTGAATTTCAGTCCACGGATTCAGTTTGATCTGCCAGTCACTGCATTTAGCACAAATCCAGCAGTGTTTTTCCTATTAAGACCATGAAGCGAGCTGAAACACAAGAGACTCACCTCAGCCCTGTGTGAGAGTAAGGGCTCACAGCTGTAAAGACCTCACTGAATTTGAGTATTCGGTTGACAAAGATAATGAAGTTGATCACTTACTGTGTATGGATTTTCAAATACTGTATGCTTTTTCTCATTTGTTCTTAATAACTGTGTTTTAAAAAAACTTTGATTCAAATGTGTAATGAAAACTCCTAGAAATGACATTTGCCCATATTTCTGAATGACAAATCCATTACAGATTAGATAAGATTATGGTGGCAGACCTCTTATGACTGTGATGTTGGAGCTTGACTCCCCAAGGCAAAGGTTTTGTGTGGAGCGCCTCAGTAGTGTTAAGTACAGTACAGCCACTGCCACAGTGCTTCAGTGTTTGATTTACCCTGGTCACAGCTTTTTGTCTGACAGCTTGCG